GATAAAAAGAGTGCGACAAAAAAAATACAATAAAACATTCTTTCTTTACAATTTAAGGTTCTAACGAAATAAAACACAAAGATGCATTCCAACATATCTCTTGAGATAATGCATATGTCTTGATAGAAGCAAAACATATTACAACTTGTCTGATTTTTTTTACAAACGTATTTGGTGCAAGAAAAAAGACAACTACTCATTTTTTTAGGGAACCGCAGTGAATATTGATAAATTAAAGACATACAAATTGCGGATTTGTGCAAAAGAATATATTTTCCATATGCATTTGCTGTAATTTTTATTAATGAACAGTCTATTTTTTCACATATATCACTAATTGCATATGTCCAACAATTTATTCCAAGTGGTTAATCTTCTAATCTAGATCATTACTTAGTACCACAACAATTTTTTGTAATATATGCACAAATAATCAATAAGCTAGAAATGTTGCATATTTTACCATGTTATTTTTTTTTTTTTTGCTAAATACTATGTTTTAAAAAAACGCAACGCGTGGACAATATCTAGTATATTCAATCATATATTCTTTAAAAAAACTATCACAAACATCATTAAAAAATAACGGAGAAACACCTTTAATAGATTACTTTCAATTTGAAATACAGTTCTTTAAATATAGTTTGCGGTCTATTTGAAATGTATGATTTCACACGCAAAAAGATATGTGGCTACAAGGAATACTGATTAATTCTTGAGATTAATATTTGAATATAATTGATGGACAAAAGATACATGTGGATAGAGATGATAAAAGAAAAAGCAATTGATTATTGTGGTTTGGGTTGAAATGACGAAGCCAAATTAAGAGTAGGGAATCTTAGGTTTACTAATTCATCTTTCATTCTCTAATCTCTCTGTATATACCAAAGAAAAAGCTTCTTGCGCATAAGTTAGTTGATTTTATAACAAAGTTTATATACCATGATTGAGATGTAGTAGTGTGAAAACACTTGCATTTGAATTTGTGTTTTGATTTACATAATATTTTTTTAGTGATATAGGCGCAGATTTTAATTTTGTTTTTGGTGGAAATCATATTTTGAAATAATAATTAGATGATAATTTAAATCTTAAGATGACGGCTAGATTTTGATTCGTACATGTGACTATGAAACACATTAAGAAGGACACTGAAGCAGAGAATCAATGTCGGGACGAGAATTTAATCTTAAGATGTTTGTCAGTTTTGACGCGCTTTTGGGGACGCGTGTACACAACTCACTAGGCGACAAATTTGCTTTTTTGTCAGTTTGTGAGTCACCACGTCACTCATTTACAAGAACTCATTCTCAAGTTTCTACTGATTTGGTCATTATTAGTGTTTCTTCCTTAGCTCCACTGTTTCACTTATTGCTTTACTTTTCCTTTCATCAATTTCTACGTTTTAACGGTAATTTAAAAACGTCAAAATGACAATTGAGCTAAAAAAATCATTAGTTAGGAGGAATTTTGTGGATATACTGAATAAGTATATGAATGTTTGAAACAAAAAGATTACTATATGATTTTGTTGTTATGTCATTTTGAAATAGCGGAATAGACGGATGATACGTTATTTAATCGAAAATAGAATTTATGCGGAATAGTATAAAACGCTAAAAATTTGGTTTTGATAGATTAGTGACATTTTTAAATACAATTGAAATTAATAACAAAATCGTTTGTCAAAACGTGAACAC